ATTATTAAAACAAGCAAGACTTAGATAATGTCTTGTTTTCCATGTTCATTTGGACAAGAGCAGAATGTCCTTTAAGTCAAAATAGAAATCATATCTCCATTTCCATTTTGAAAAAGAGCAACGAGCCATTCCTCAAAAACCAAGAAAATTGTCTTTCTTGGATCAAATACTGTAACGTCAAGAACAAGCTCAATCGTTCATAGTTCTTCAAAGAGCAGAAGATAGTTCGTTCAAATGGCTTCAAGAACAAAAGCTAATCCAGTTCTTGCAATTCTTAACTCAATCCAACGTGCAACTACACAATTGCAACGAGAATTTATTTGAATTGTAGCAACGTAAAATTTTGCGGTTCTAAAGGTGTACGTGCAATCTTCTCCAGGTATGTTAAGGCTATCCCTTCTTTCTTTTGGCATGATCTAATGTGAAATGAATACGCTATTTCATAATGAATCCACTCCTAGCAACTAAGGTTGTGTGTCCATGTTGTTCTTTCCGTACAAATTTATTCTAAGAAAGTATGTATGATCCTTGAGTCCTAGTAAAGTTCATATTGATGGTATGCTGTCCATAATGTTAATCGAAGGTGCAACGACCTTACGTCACTCTGAAAGGTTTAGAACGTAATTCCATGAGTCGAGCATGCATTATATATATGCATCTATTTTACTCTACCGAGCCGCGCTATAGTCGGCCGGGTATGGCACCTATTGTGCAACCACTGATCAGTTGGGTTTACCGAGCTCCACGTGGCCGGGTATGATTCTACCGAGCCTTATGATGGCCGGGTACGTTTTTACCGAGTCCTCTTTGAGACCGGGTACGATATGATGATGATGATGCCCACAGAGGCGAATATTTTTAAAAGTTTATGTATATATATGTATTATGCATTTCATGTCAGTAGTCCCCAGTGGCACTCAGATGTTACAGGTTGTAGCTCCTCTATCTCTCTTTACATTACTGTTCTTATTTATGTTTTCCTACCTTACATACGCAGTACTTTATTCGTACTGACGTCCCTTTTGCCTGGGGACGCTGCGTTTCATGCCCGCAGGTCCCGATTGATAGGTTGACAGTCCTTCTATTAGGCTATCAACTCAGCGAAGGTGTTGGTGAGCTCCATTTGCTTCGGAGTTGCTTGTTTGGTTAGTATGATTTTGACGTGTATTGTTTGGTATGGCGGGACTCTATCCCGACCTTTATGACATTTATGTACTCTTAGAGGCTTGTAGACATATGTCTTGTACGTGAAAGATTGTACGGCCTTGTCGGCCTATGTTTTGATTTTATAAAGGATCATGTTGGCCTATTAGGCCCGTATGTCACATGTATATAATGATGTAGTAAGAAAGATACGTTATGTTGGTACTCGGTTGAGTAAGGTACCGGGTGCTCGTCGCCACCCATCGGTTTGGGTCGTGACAATAGGTTTAGCTACTCCTGGAAATAATATAAATTAAAGATGAAATGAAGATAAAAGCCATAATATTAATTTATGGAATGAAAATCTAATGTTAAGAGATGAATCTGATATAAATTTCCGAAACAGAAAGCTCAGCCGTCTCACGTACTCATACAAAACATAACATAACCTAAAAATGACAAAAATTTCTATTTATACTAAGCTGAAAATATCTGACAAAATTTCCCATGCGGAGGTTGTGCGACCGCATAATTCTGAGTGCGGCCGCACTCTTGCTTTCGCGGCCACGTAATTCTAATGCGGTCCGCGTTTTTTCTTTTTGGATCTGGGTTGAGCTAGACTTTCGCGGACCGTATAATTCCAGGTGCAGCAGCGCTCCAGATTATGCGTCCGCGTAAAGTAACGCAGTCCGCACTTGCTTGAGTTTGACTTGAAATTAACTCTCTGATTCTTCATCTTGCGGACTGCACAAATTCGATTGCGGCTTCACAAAGGACTTTCATGACCGCACACTTCTAGTGCGGTCTGCGTTCATCTTAAAGCCTTAAATTGCAAATCTCTGCATCTCCCTTATGCGGACCGCATAATTTTAATCGTGGCCGCACCATGGCTTTTCGGCCGCACATTAGTGGCGCGGTCCGCGCTTCAGGCTTCTTTGTCCAGTCTTTGTTTTGTTCAACTTTTAACTCCTTTATGAGTTGGTTTTGATTCCTTTGGATCATTTTGAACAATTCCTGCAAGCAAGCACATTTCATTAGTTTTCGGGAATACCTTCAAATATTTTTAGCCTAAATCACAAGTAAAGGAGAGAAAATAATAGGGTTAAATCCCTACTTATCAATAACGCAGCGGCGATACAATCTTTGCTTCCTTTATTGTTTCTTTTATCCTTATTATGGCAAGGTTTTTAGTTTGTACTTCTATTTTGTAGGCTAACTTCCTTGCTTCAGAGGGCCATCAGAAGTTGATCCTTGATAAGGAGAAACTCACCTGCGAGCGGGATCAATTGTTGGTCGAGCGGGATTAAATTGTTGCTCGCCTCCCGGTACTGGAAGCACAAGCTGCTGAGGCAACTAAGTTGGAGGCTCGGTTGCAGCAAAGCGAGCAAGAGGTAGTGACTCTCGGCCAAGAGGCTGCCCTGTTAAAGGTACAATTTGAAGAAGCTAAGGCAAAATGGGTTTGAGGTCCAGAATTATGTTCTTGCTGCATCCTATCGCGAGGCTGCCTCTACTGAAAGATTGAATAATTTGGAGGCGGCCTTAAACTCCAAGGCTGAAGAAGTTGTTGCTGCCAAGGAGAAGTATGGGCGTTTGGAAGAGAGTCATGGAGCACAATATAGTTTTCAACTCCAATGTTCGTAACCTTGATGCCAGCCTCCAGGCCGCTAGATCTGGGATAACCTTTCGACCGATGTTAACCGTCTAAAGGAAGAACTTCAGCGCCGACCGGCTTCCCTCATTGTTGAAAACACATATTCTATGTATAGCATGAGCAGAAAAACCTTGGAAGAGGCCAAAGCGGGTGTCGTTGACTTTGATGCCAAAATTGCCAAGGCTCGTGAGCTGGAATCAACTGCCCAAAGGGCTCTTCTGGTCTAACCTGATGCTACCGACTCTTCTGGTTTCAGTTCCGAGTTCTCGAGAACTGAAGAAGAACCGGAAGGGGATGATGCTAAAGGCCAAGAAGGTGAAAGCCAAGATACTGAGCCGACGGCGGACCCGCCTACTTCTCCTAGGGTGCAAATGCTTCCCTTCCTCCGGATTCCGGGGATGCAGTAGCTTAACTTTTGCTTTCTTTTCACTTTACTTTTCTTTTCCATATTTTTGTACTTGTGCTACTTAGCAGTTTTGCTGTATATAAAAGTATGTTTTTTCGTTTAAGTATTGCGCAAGTTTTTCTTTTTGCATACTTTACGTTTAAGTATTGCGCAAGTTTTTCTCTTTGCGTCGACTTATGCAAGGCTTCAGGTGTATTTTCCCCCTATAGCATTTGGATTCTAGGCATAAGTTCTTCCGGAATCAACCCTTTACTGTGAGAGTTTCATAACAGAGGCCCCTCTTATGTTTACGGTGCTCTCGAAGAGGACGCCTTCTGTTCATTACGACAGTAGCATTTTAAGTACTTGTTTAACTTACAAATGATAAAATTAATTCATCGATATGACAAAAAACAAGATAAAAATGAAAGGAATTAACTTAATTCCTTCCACTTTCAAAGGTACATAAACACTCGTTGTGCTAAAAAGAAATTGCCATTACTTGTGGCTAACTTGTACAACTTGTGCCATTACTTGTGACTAACTTGTACAACTTGTTTCTACGAGGCTGGCCGTGCAATCCCCGGTCCTAATGATACAATTTTATTTCCGGATTTTGTCCTAGTCAATGTGGCAGTCATTGTTGCCATATTCTCATATCGTCCCCCCAGTGTTCGAATGCAAAGAATGCGAATTCGAACATTGAAAGTCTTTCTTCTTTGAAGATTCCACTAGTGAATGGTTAGATAATCTTTAGTTCGATAGCAAGCTTCACTTCGCCTCAGGAACTTTTGCTATCGAACCAAAGATTATCTAACAATCCCCAGTGGCTTGAACTCGTGAAGGTTCGGGTAACCTTAGGCCCAATAGCAAACTTTACTTCCCGGTAGGAACTTTGCTACCGAGAAAAAGATTATCTAATCGCTCCCCTGTGGCTTGTTGCCTGCATGCCTTGTCATTTAAAGGTCTTACTTCTGCTAACGAAGCTTCCTTCGTAGTATGCTTTCCGTTGCTGCCTGTTAAAAATCTTACCAGAAAAACCCAATTGGGATAAAAACTGGACGAAGGGTAAAATAGTACAACACATACTTTTAGTATAGGCGAGGCTCATCAGCAATAGTATCTTTTGAGGTGTGCCACATTCCAATTGCTCGGTAACTTTACTCCATCTTGATTTTCCAATTCGTATGAACCTTTCCCGGTGACAGCTGAAACCCGGTAGGGGTCTTCCGACGTCGAACCCAGCTTTCTTGCGTTGAGCTCCCGGGTGTTCTGAGTTACTTTCCTTAAAACCAGTTCTCTTACTTTGAAATAACGGAGGTTGGCTTTTCGATTGTAGTATCTTTCCATTCTCTATTTTTGGGCTGCCATCCTTATATGTGCCAAGTCCCTACGTTCGTCGAGCAGCTTCAATTGACCAACATTGCTTCATTGTTTGTTTCTTCGTCCCCCCGAAAATATCTCAAGGTAGGCTCCCCTACTACCACTGGGATCAACACTTCCGCAACTTACACAAGGGAGAAAAGAGTCTCCCCCGTGCTTGATTTGGCTTTTGTTTGATATGCCCACAATACTCCTGGTAGTTTTTCGAGCCATTTGCCTTTAGCTGCTTCCAATCTCTTTTTGAGAGTTTGGATAATCACCTTGTTTGTTGATTCTGCTTGGCCGTTTGCACTCGGGTGATAAGGTCACGATATGATCCTTTTGATTTTTAGGTCTTCAAGGAATGTTGTGACCTTTGCGCCTATAAATTATGGCCCGTTGTCGTTGGCTATCTCTTTTGGTATTCCGAATTCGTAAATATATTATCCCATAAGAAATCTACCGCTTTGCGCTTGCCAATTTTCTGTTAAGGACCTGTTTCAACCCACATAGAAAAATCATTAGTTAAAATCAGAAGAAATATTACCTTACCGGGGGCTGGCAGCAGCGGATCGACTATATCCATTCCCCACTTCATGAATGACCAGGGCAAAAAATCCGAGTGTAGTAGCTCTGCCGATTGATGTACCAACGGTGCGTGACGTTGATAGTTATCACATTTCTGAACATAAGCCTTAGCGTCTTGTTCCACCCGGGACCAATAGTATCCATTCATAATTAATTTTAACACTAAGCATTCTGCGCCTGAGTAATTTCCACAGATCCCTTCGTGGGCTTCTCGCTTGATATAATTAGCTTCAGAGGCTCCCAAACATCGGGCCATGGAAGGATCTTCTATACAATTGACCTCCCTTGAAGCTATATTGAGCTGCTTTAGTACGTAGCGCCCGAGATGCCTTGGGATCTTCAGGCAATTTTCCGTGCTCGAGATAGTCCATGATCTCATTTATCCAATCCTAGACCAAATTGGTCGCGTTTACTTCGTCATAGCTGTATGTGTCCAACACCGAATGCATAAGCTGCACGGTCGTATCGGAGTCCGATCCTTTCATTTTCATGGACGATCCTAAATTGGCTAGTGCGTCTGCCTCCGCATTTTCTTCTCTCGGAATATGGGTAATCGACCATTCCATGAACCGTGCGAGCAGAGCCTGGACTTTCATTACATATTGCTGCATGCGTTCCTCTTTAGCTTCGAAGATACCTTAGACCTGATTTACTACTAATTGGGAGTCACATTTGATTTCTATGACCTCTGAGTCCAGTTCCCGGGCCAGCTCAACTCCTGCAATCAAAGCTTCATACTCTGCTTCATTGTTAGTCAGAGGAACAGTTCTTATGGCCTGCCTTAGGGTTTCTCTCGAAGGTATGATTAGCATTACGTCGAGCCCGGACCCCTTCATATTGGAGGCTTCGTCCGTGAACAAAGTCCAAACTCCTGATGTCGATTCTGACACCATTATTGCTTCTTTGGTAGCCAAAGGTAACATTCTCGGACTGAAATCAGCCACAAAGTCTGCCAAAACTTGTGACTTAATCGCAGTCCTAGGTTTATACTCTATTTTAAATTCACTCATTTCGACTTCCCACTTGGCCAACCTACCTGAAAGTTCAGGTTTATAAAGGATATTCCGCAGGGGAAAGGCGGTCACCACGGCTATCGGATGACATTAGAAATAAGACCTAAGTTTTCGAGCGGCGACTACGAGAGCTAAGGCTAATTTTTCTAGATGTGGGTAGAGAGTTTCTGCTCTCCTTAAAATTTTACTAATATAATAGATAGGAGATTGCTTACCTTCGTCCTCACGGACTAAAACGGCACTTACCGCTACCTCCGAGACTGCTGAGTAGATCAACAGTTGTTCGTCTTCCTCTGTTTTTGACAGTAATGGAGGACTCGACAAACACCTTTTCAAATCCTTCAAAGCCTGCAGACATTCCGGAGTTTATTCGAAGTTGTTCTTCTTTTTGAGTGAAAAGAAATGATGGCACTTTTCCGAAGACCGGGAAATAAATCTACTTAAAGCGGCCAGTCTTTCTGTCAACCTCTTTCACACTTGATAGCTGGTTCGGGATGTCTTCGATGGCTTTAATTTTATTGGGGTTGACCTCGCCCCCTTTGCGACACCAGAATCCCAAGAACTTACTAGAGCTAACTCCGAATGCACACTTCTCGGGGTTAATCTTCATGTTGTGCTTTCTTAGGATGTCAAAGGTTTCTTGCAAGTATCTCCTGCGTTCAAAGACTTAACCAGCATATCATCTATGTAAACTTCCATGGTTTTCCCTATTTGTTTCTCAAACATTTTGTTTACGAGCCGCTGATAAGTTGCTCCGGCGTTCTTTAGCCTGAAAGGCATCACATTATAACAATATGTGCCGAAGTTTGTTATGAACGAAGTTTTTACCTGATCCTTCAGGTTCATATTGGTTTGGTTGTATCCGGAGTATGCATTGGGGGAACTCATTAACTCGTCCCTAGCCGTCGCATCAATCATTTGATCAATGATAGGCAATGGGAACGAGTCTTTTGGGCACGCCTTATTTTAATTATTATAGTCTACTCACATGCAAAACTTATTATTCTTTTTTGGAACTACTACTAGTTAGCTAGCCAGTTGGGATGCTTTAGCTCTCGGGTTGAATCGATATCAAGCAAATGAGTTACCTTTTCTTTAACGAATTTGTTTCTGACCTCGGCAATAGAACGTTTTTCTGCCTTACCAGATGGATGCTAAGATCTAGGTTTAGTGTGTGCATCACCACTTCCGGCAGGATACCTGTCGTATCCACATGCGACCATGCAAAACACTCAACGTTAAATTTAAAAAATTCTATAAATCCTGACCTGAGCTTGGGGTTTAGTCCTATCCCTAAGTGGAACGTCCTCTCCAAGAATTTTTCGAAAAAACCGACATGTTCTAGTTCTTCCGTTGTGGACTTTGTTGCATCCGTTTCTTCTGGTACCTGGAAATATCTCGGTACCTGATAGGATTTCGACGACTCCCCCCTGGTTGAATTCACTCAGCTCGGGAGCAGGCGCCGGTTCCTGTAATTGCTATATTGCATGCTCCTTCCCTTTGCTATTGGAAACTAAGAAAGCGTTCATCTCCCTTTCCGCAGTTGGTCTCCTCTTATTTGTTTAATTCCCTTGGGAATTGGGAATTTCAGTAATTGATGGTAGGTTGAAGGCATAGCCTTCATCTCATGCAATCATGGTCTCTCCATGATAATATTGTAGCCCATATCGTCTACTACTTCGAAAAGGGTCTTCTTCATCACCCCCTCGGCATTCGTGGGAAGCAAAATCTCTCCTCGGGTTGTCACGCTTGCCAGATTGAACCCGGTGAGGAGTTTTGTAGCCGGAATGATACTTCCGGTCAGCTTGGCTTGCTCCAACACTCTCCACTATATAATATTGGCCGTACTTCCTGGGTCCACCAAAACACATTTAATTTTAAAATCTAAGACAAAAGAGATTACCAAGGCATCATTGTGCGGAAACAGTAGCTCATCTGCATCTTCCTCCGTGAAAGTAATGTCGTCCTCAGCGACTTCCCGAAGTCTCTTACTGTGGGTTACTGAAACCTTCATCTTTTTTGCCGCCGAAAATGTCACACCATTAATCTCGTTCCCCTCCCCCCCCCCCCCCAAAAAAAAAATCATGTGTATCGTCAAACATGGAAGGTCTTCTCCTGCTTTCGAAGGTTCCGTGTTATCACGATTGCGGCCGTAATTGTTTTAGCCTGATCATTGAAGAATCCTCTAAGATGGCCATTTTTCAGCAATGTCGCCGCTTCCTCGTGCAAATCGGCAGTCCCCAGTCCGGTGACCATTGGTCCCATGATATTCGCACAACAAATTAGGATCCCTCTAACTGGGATCAAATTTTATTAGTTTCGGGAACCGTGCTTCCTTAATGTTCCTCATAGCCGACACCAGCTCCGCTATGCTGACGTTGAAGTTGTATTCAGAAAGCTTGGGGTAGGAGGAATCTCGAGAACTCGATATCTCCTTGTCTTGCCACAAGTTTTACACTTAGCTTTATTTTTTTCTCTTATTTGAATAAAAAATGGCCAAACAAGAGATGTTTCGGCCCATTTAGAAGGTTGTCTAGAAAAAGTAGGGTACTAACGGGGGGGGGGGGGGGGGGATCAATCGGGACATCATTTGGATTAGTTGGGTTAACTTCAGCAACATGACTAGTGGGTGTATCATCATCCGGTTGCGTTTCATCTAAATCTATTTCCTGCTCATGTTCTTCATCAATAGTTGGATTACCATAAAGAGAATTCATATATTCATGATCTAAGTTTTACTACCACCTCCAACATTATGCACATATTGACTCTCAGTAAATTGTAATAAAGTATTATCACTATCAAGAATAGGAGCAGGTGGAGGGCGGGTATGGGGTTTGGGTAGGGNTATCTAAGGCATTTTCTTGTAAATTATATTATATAATTGTGACTTAAAATTTTTAATTCAAATTTAAAACACAAAATTTTGTAAAAAGATATTCAAAGGAATTTCCGTTGGTGGTGGCGGAAAAGAAGCTTTTACTAAATATTTTTTTTAAGGAATAGGCCATCTTAATTATAATTATACAAAGTAATTAAATAAAACAAACAAAACTATAATATTTAAACTAAAGAGTTGGAACCGAGTTTAGCGAATTGACGAACAACTTGTTGAAAATTAATTATTGTTGAAGACTTGAGTACTTCAATTCACCAACTTCACAATTTTTCACACAAGTTGCAACAACAAAATAACCAATTTTAGAAGAAAACTAGAGAGAGATTGACGATTTGGTGAAGAAAAATGAAAGAATGAGGGGGTATTTATAGTTGAAAATAGGGAAAAAGTATAATTATAAAAAGATTGGGGTTAAAAAAAAGTTTGGGGGGGGGGGGGGTTAAATGGCTATTTTATAAATAGCCAACGGCTATTTTGGCAGCGATAACGGCTACATTTTAAATGGGTAATGGTCAGAAAATAAGTGGGATTTTTTTTAAAATATAGCCGTTGGGGACCGGTTGAGACCGTTTGGGACCGGTGAACCGGCCCACTTAGGACCCGGTCCCGGGCCCAAACGGTCTCAGTCCTAACGGTCCCCTAATGTGAACCGGCCCACATGGGCCTGTATATCTCCCTGGTCCCGGGCTTAAATGGGTAGGACCATTTAGGCCCTCTACCCATATGGGCTCGCGGGCCTGGGCCGGTCCTGGGCCTAATCGGCCCACTTGCCACCCTTAGCTTGGGGTAGGAGGAATCTCGAGAACCCTATATCTCCTTGTCTTGCAATGAGCTGTTATTCCGGCCGCGATCAGCTCTCCTATCAGTAGCGAATCTATCCACGACTGAAAACCTCTATCGCGCACTTCAGCCTGTTCATAGGGCAAAAATCGACCCCTTGTAGACTGTCGATCTGTGTCGAAATCCTTCTTTGATTTCTCCTTATTCTTCTCCCGGCCCCGACCTTTGGTTGATGCCAGGAAACCGAGCTGATCATCCTCAATTCTTATCTTTGACTCATACCGGTTGTGAACATCCGCCCATGTTGTTGCCTGAAACTCGAGCAGACTTTCTTTTAATTTCCTGGAAGCATAGGAACTTCTTGGATTCAACCCTTTAGTAAATGATTCAGCTGCCATTCGTCTGGTACGGTTGGGAGAAACATTCTTTCTTTTTGGAAACTGGTAACGAACTCCCCGCAACAATTCGGACTTTCCTTGCGCAATCCTGATTATGTCGGCCTTTCGGGCCTGTAACTTTCTGGCCCCGGCATGGGCCTTGATAAAAGAATCTGCGAGCATCTCGAAGGAATCTATTGAGTGCTCGGTCAAGAGTGAATACCATGTTAGGGCCCCCTTCGTGACGGTTTCCCCGAATTTCTTCAGCAAGACTGACTCAATCTCGTGTGAAGCTAAATCGTTTCCCTTC